CTTATTGAAAACCTTTCGAAATGGACAACCGCATTTTCCAACTTACTCGGAGATATAGAACTCCAATAGATAACTGAATTAACAATTTATTCGTTTTACCAGTCGGATCGCCCGGCTAACGCCGAGCTCTCCTCCTTCTTGGAAGCCCGGCTTCGCCGGGCTCAAGCAACTGCTTTAGAGCCTCACTTCTTAACTCGTGAAAGAAAGGAACAAAGTAAGGCATAAGCAGGGCGATACTACTGTCTTAGGCATTTATGATGCTCTCATGGTGCCTAACCGGTGTCTTCTAATCAAATAAATGTAGGAACGCGCCATATGATCGCAGGGCACTTTTATAATGAAAGGTTTGAAATCTGGTCATGGATAATCTATTACTGCTCCCCATCTTATGACAGCCACGGATTCTTCGGTCTCCGCAGTCGCTGCGTGCTCCTGTTCAGGCGAGCGTCGGTCGCGCCAATATGGTACCCCTTCACCTCACCTATCCCCAAACTAACCTCAGCTATTCCCCGCTCAGCCACCCTACAGGTCACACTCAGCTGCTACGCGAATAGCCCGTGCAATGGTTCTGAGTGCACTAAATGGTTGTGTTATGTTGTGGAGGGTGTTATGACTATCAAAACGCTACCACAATTTGATAATGCAACATTAATCGGTTCAGTTCCGATTGCGGTCGATCCATTTTCTTCCATCTTATCGCAACCGTAGACGCCTTACCGCCGCAGGGGCTATGTGCTCCTAATCGCGAAATCGCCGTTCTCATCTGGTATCCCCTCACCACATCATATCCCACTGACCCTATTTAACCGGCACCCACCCCCGCACGTGGTATGCAGCCGCACGTTACAAACATAGGCGACACTACTCCGCCACTGTTCTTACCACCGCCTTGCTCGTGCTCACGTCCAGCTCCCAAGCGAGCAGCTCCTGCAGTAGCACAGAGTATATCACAGTGGTTGGCCCAGTTTGCCCGATTCAATCCATATGCCTCCTTCCCCTGCATGGGCTCAGATCCGACTGAGTACGCGCAAAGGGAGTGAGGATGGGAGAAGGGGGTCACTCGATACTAACCACCTTCCTCACCTCACCCCATTCCGTACTCGCCACTCCACCCCCCCCCCCACCCCACCTTGCCCCTTGCACGCCGCTTACAAACCTTCCCGCTACGCCGAGCACAACCCGTACAATGGCTCGGAGTGTAGTGGTTTTCTTATATAGTGGAGAGTGTTATCACAACCAAAACAACTTCTTAGTTCGTTACGGTAACATAGATTGGTCTATTCATTCATCTCAACTCCCTCTTATTTTTTATTGTCCCCTTATTTGTCCTATTCTTTCACCCATATCTTTTCACTCCAGGACATTTCCTTGTCCTATTTTAACCTTTTTCCCTATCCTCTTATTACTTCCGACGCACTCCTCGCGCCTCCATCTCAGTTTCGCCACCCAACCATCCGGTCCCCGGCCCCAGTTTTGTTAGCGGTTGTTTCCTCATTCCTTGTGCGCGTTTCTACTGAAACGCACGCCACGCACTGTACCCCCCTCCCCGCGACCCTCCCCTCTGCCTCCCTCCCATACACGTGCTCAGCTCCGGCTGAGCACGTGCAGGAGAGGGAGGCAGGGCGACCCGGTACCCCCACCCTGCCCCCGCACGAGCACACGTCCAGCTGCCACGCCAGCAGCTCGTGCAATGGCTCGGAGTGTACCGAATGGTTGTCTTATATAGCGGAGGCTGTTATCACAATCAAATCATTGGACTGCTACATCCTCCCAGTCGGTTACCGGTTTGCCTAGCGGTCGTTTTCGCCTCCAGCGAACTCGAACCCGTGAAGTATTTTGCGGACGGACAGACAAACATACATACATACATACATACATACTACAAACCTACATACATACAAACATACAAACCGACACACAAAGTTACTGGTTTATAGAATGAAAGGATTCAACACTTGTTGCTGGATGATCGATTGTTTTGCGGAACTACCATTTTGTGAAATTGTCAGAGCGACCACTTTTCAAAGGCTGCGTTTATACTTCTGGCCGGACCCAGCCTCACGCTAACGTTTCCAGCGTTCGGCAGCGGCAGTGAAAAGGGAAAGATGGATATCGATCTAGCGTTTCCAGCGTATGCTAGCGTAACGCTACACTATGAAAGCGCAAGTGTACAGCACCGTTGAGCGAAGCCCATAGGGGAGGGGGGGTTCGTACTTGGTCGCTGGGAGGGGGCGAGGTCGTAATTGCAAGGTTCAGTCAGCACCGGACAAAGCTATGACGTTTCAATTGAGCGAAGGAGTAGAGCTATGAAAGCAGAGATGTAAAAAAAAAATGTGAAATTTTCAGGAAGGTATTCTCGACGGAAGATTTCGAGCGCGGATTCGAGCGCTCCGTTCCAGCCTTCTTTTCGTGGTGCCGCTTATGTCCTCTGAATCGCCACAAAGGGGATCGCACTTGGCCGCAGAAAACGTGGGGAGGGTCGCAGATGCAGTGGGTGGGCATTAAAGAGGACAGTGTCATTGTTAAGTTTGATGGAGCGAACGGAAAGCTGCAGAAGTCCCTGATGTAAGGAAGACTACAAAATAGTGAGAAATGTTTTGTAATATCAATTGCTAGCATGAACTCGTAAGTACGTAGATGACTAAATAATACGTCTCAAACAGATTCGTGCGTATTGTCCTTTCCAAACCCTAAACAAACATCTGCTTGCATGGACAAAAAGCACCTGAAATCAGAATTTACACCTTTTCAGCATCTCTGCGTATAAGTGTGTTTGTTGTTGTGTTTTGCATGTTTTCACGATTAGGGGATGACTTCTATCAGAAGAGTAGCGTCCGGTGTTTGATTTCCCCGTCACCATCCACTGATTGCACATCTGGGGCCTGACACACTGACTTTGGAATTTTTTTTCACTAATTTTGCTTAAAAATGATCACCACTGTTTGCTGTTAATAATAGTCCTATTATAATTTGCATCTCATAAACAGTTGCCAAACGACGCCTATTATTTTTGAACCCTGAAACAAAAAATTCGCCAAAGTGAGGCTGCTGTTCAGCCTCACATTATATTAGGCCTCATATCGCCTACAATTTCGGAGCAAAGTCCGCACTGCAGGATCCCTGATTCCATTTTAGGATGTCATTTCGTATGAACAAACATATGGCTGTCAGTTAGAGCAGAGGGGGGGAGGGTCGTAATCGGACCCTTCCTCGAGAGGGGGGGGGTCGTACTCACATCGCCATTTCCCACATCCCCGTGCTGTCGGGTACAGGAAAGAGCATGGGGACGTGGGAAATGGCGATGTGAGTAAACAAAACAAAAGGAATATTGCCGATAAAGAAAAAAAGAAACGATACGATAGCGTACGCCAGCGTAAGGCTAGCGCTAGCGTAAGCTATCGTATCGCTACGATAGCGTAGCCAGCGCTAGCCTTACGCTGGCGTAAGCTATCGTAGCGAGGGCAAGGAAAGCATAGGTATCGATTTACCATATGTATAATGTATTTATTCACATATGTATATGTATGTTATATGTAATACATAGGGTTTTGGTTCGTTCCTTCTAAAGGGTTTGCCGATCTAGACTTCGCTCATTGCCAACGCCCACTTGCTTTTTGCAGAATTTTGACATCTTTCAAAATTCTTGCGTTTTGCGTAACCAATAA